ATCTGTGCACACAGAGGATTCCCTCAGCAATTGGATTATGTGTCTATCTCTGACCCCAAAATGCACCCCAAGATTATCCAGCTGCTGACATGAAATGGGCAACGATGGGAAACAGAAGCAAATTGACTGTAAACATCTTGTCTCACAAACAAATATTTTTAAAGCTGTTAAAAAATATATCAGTATAGATTTACACTGAAATATTTCAGGCTACTATGTTTTTAAGACATTATTTTCATGCAAATACACAATTGCTTAAATGCAATTTTAACACAATGGCACTGCAGATTATGCAACTGCTGTGCCACAATATCTGATTCTACAACTACATCCACAGTTCAAATGAACTTTTTTGATTAGAAGCTGCACAATTGTAGAGAGCATTATTAGGAACAATGGAGCGCAGTGAGGCACACTGTAAAATAGGTTCTCGCAGCTATGTGTTTCATTTGGTAGATCCCACTTTAGATCAAAGAGAGTGTAGTGTGTTGCCTGATGATAGTATGAGATGGAGATGCTTTCATGTCTGCAGTTCAAGGCTCTTAGTCACATGATACAACAAAAGGCATAAAATAATGACAGCCAATAAGCTCTGAAATCTCTTTTTGTGCATAATATTGTGTACCGTACAGTACATAGCATCATAAGGATGTTGTTTACATGAAACTTGATTTTGTGCCTTTATAGCCCCGCATATATCTACTTTGTCGGTCATATAAAGGTAAATCATTTTGCAAAGTTGCATTAGTGTTGATTTACTCCCTCCTACCTACTGTATATGAATGTGTGTATGCACAGACGGAAACTAGGGGGGCTGGGGAATGAAATTACATATTGGTGCCAGCAGGCAGGACAACAGCTCAAAGTACACTCATTTTCTCATCTTGCACATTGGGTATCCTGCTGCTCCTCAGGAAACAAATAATGGCTTAGTCATAACTCCTCGCCAACACACCAAAGAGCTTCTCACTAGAAATAGCAAATATTTTTAACCACTGAAAAACATGCCCACCTCCCTATACATTTTATGTCCAATTGTACAAAAGGTCTGCCAAAGGAGTGGAGCTTAGCCCCCACCTCTCTACTCCTCCAGCCCCTTGTGGTTAGTCTCTCAGTGAAGGCGGACATGTGCCACTCTGCGATAAAGCATGGCAGCTCTGCTGCCGTATCTGAACCGCACACACTCTATCGTTTTACAACTTACTGTACACTCAGGGATTATGTACTTCACATGTTCCATTTGAGGACCCACATACCATTGGTGCATTTACATATAAAACAGATGCTTTTTTTTCTTGTTTATAAAAAACTGTTTTTCACTACCAAGCAAGTTTGAATTAGTGCTGTAAATTATGCTCATAAAAGGCTAACAAATCAAAAACAAGTCTGTATCTTACCTCATTAAAAAGCCATTTTCAACAGCAAATCTTCATTTGGATTCTACCATTTAGCTGATGATTAAAATATATGTTAATGTTTCTATTCATAACAGCTAGGATAAATTAGTTTTTGCTTAAATCCCCTTTCATTAGCTACTTAACACTGCCTCAGTTACAGCCATGTTTTCTGTAATTATAAAATCAGTGAAAATTCATTGGTTCTATCATTAACAAGCACATTTTTGGAAATAACATGGTTTCAACATGCAGACTTTATTTTCCATATATGGTAAGTTGATTTGTTAGGAGGATTATCCCTGCCGTCGCTTCTCGTGGGCTGTTTTCAGTATGCAACGGTCCTCTCTGTCCAAGATAGTCCAGGGAAGGAGGACTGGTGAACCGGACATATGGTACCGAGCTTCTAAGTCCCAAACGCCACATGAGGTCCAAAAGCTGAACATTTGATCTAGTCCAACAGACAAGCTAGCTCAACTGATGAAAAAGTTCTTATGAAAAGGTATCCATGAGAGTTTCTTGAAGCCATCATAGCTGGAGAGTAGTCATTTACATGCTGAGCCTGTCTGCATCAACAATGTGCACAGAAGCATCAAAACTTGACTTTAGAGCAGGCATCCCCAAAGTTGGTCCTCGAGGGACGCTGTCCTGCAGGTTTTAGAGGTTTCCCTGCTCCAGCACAGCTGATTTACTTTGATAGTTGATTAACAGGCTTTTGCTGAACTGCAATCATCAGAATCAGCTGTGCTAAAGCAGAGAAACCTCTAAAACCTGCAGGACAGCGGCCCTTGAGGACCGACTTTGGGGATGCCTGCTTTAGAGCATTGAAAGAAGGCAGTTTAATCTGGTCAAACGTGTATCTTTCTATGTGATTTGATTACCTGGAAAAATGCAAGAGCCCCTAGACTAAGATGGAAGGAAGAGAAGTGAGCAGATATTTTACCAGGAAGGTCCTACCTTCCAAATTGATCTTACTTTCCAACGTTCTACTGACCTCAGTTGCGGATTCACCTTGATGGGAATGGTAATTATTTTATCTGGAGTGGTTTGAGGTGCTGACTTGGGTTTACAAATCCCCTAGATCTTCATTAAATTGAGCATCTGTGGGAACGACCTCTACAAAGTCAGACCTATGAAGGCTCCACCTTTCTTGCAGGACCTGAAGGATCTACTATAAACAGTGTTGTTAAACACAGATAGATTGATCAACGAGGTCTATTTTTTGGGCTAGTTGTGAAGATGATATGAAATTAATAAATATGTCCACAGAGGAACATGTTCCTTACAGGTGCAAAGAACCTGAAATCAAACATTTCTTTGGACTGGGCTGACCTCGCAGCTTACAGGTTCCTGACTATAGTAAACTGGGACCATTGAGCTCTTTTTATTTAATCTATAGTTCTAAATTATTTTCCTGTATCTCCTTTTACAGATGTATAAATGTGTCCACATCAGCTATTGTGGTGCGTTGTACATCTCATATCCATTCATGTAAATGCAGGCAGTCTGCCAGTGGCTCCCTGCTGTTAGCTCCTCTGTTACAAGCTGGAAATAGTAGATGTAAGCCTGGTCTGGATTTTTTTTATGCTATAGGCTGCTGGTTTTTTTTGCTGGTCTTTTGCTTGGAAAAGGTAGTAATCAGCCAGCCCAGCTTCCCACCCGGATTTGTTTAGCTTTTGCTGGTGTTAAACTTTCCATAGATGGAATTAAGACACGAGAGGAAAAAAATAACTGGCCAATACTCACTTAGAATTGGCATATATAAAACAAACCTGTATATATTTAGTATGGATCCAAATATTTATCAAAAATGACCGTAATCAGAATATATTCAGACACAGTAATGTTTTCCTTATTATCATTTCACTCCTTCATGGCTGCAAGAGCTTCTCCAGGATTACTGCATCAGTGAATCAATCTATATAGGCATATTGAGTGAAATTTCTAAGCACCTTGTGTTGTCAGGAGGACGGATTTTAGAAAGAGCTTTTACCTCGAAGTGTAATGGAAGATAAATATTCTCCAATGCTCATCTGTAATCTAAATTTAAATGAAATAGATTGGCAGATAATAACAACATACTAACTAAATTCATGCAATCTTTCCACAAACTAATCCTAAACTATTTCATCCTGATAATAAACAATTGATTTCATGCAATATATCCAGTCTATTTTGTCCCATTAAAGTCCCAGTAATGAACTCCTACAGTCACTTTCTGCTTTGCTTTGTCATTTTCTGTATGTTTTTAACAGGAGGTTTGGAGCCAAACAAATGGCCATCTTAGATTTATATTTAAACTGCCAAACTAAACACCTGAAGCAGGCTGAGAGTCCAAGAGAAAGAGTGAACAGAGAATGGCTCGATATAAATAGCAGTGGTCTCGCCAGGATGGCGGGTTTTTAATTAACAATGGAGTGTCTGATAATCCACCAGTAATCCAGAGGAGAAAAGGGAGGAGATGAGAAGGAGAACAAGAGAAAAATTATCAGCTGTTTGATGTTAGGACTACAGGTCCCTTCTGGCCCTTCCCCTGCTCTACTCTGAGCTGTACTGCTATGTGATATCCATAGCCCAAAAGTATTTATTTTGTGAAAGAGCTATGCTCCATATTTTGTGATTCACTTTGTCTCTGACTAACCGCTGTCTGTTCCCATTAACGATGAATATGCACAAGCCCTGCTTAGGATTCTTGGAGCTTGTGTGTGGTATTAGCGGAGAGTGGTGTTTGCTGAAAAACACTGCTGACGAAAGCCTCTGTTGGCTGGAGACGTATGCTTTAAAAGCCTTAAGCCTGTTAAAACGCTTTAACCACAGGGGGAAACAATCAGAGATGTCAGACCTGCCCCACTCAGAGAGCTCTGATGTCTAAAAACACTCTCTTTAGAGCAGGGGTGTCCAAAGTTGATCCTCCAGGGTCACTGTCTTCAAGGTTTTCAACATCTTACTGCTAATATCAGCTAATATTGGTGGATGGCTGATTAACAGGCTTTTGCTGAACAGCAGTCATCTGAACAGGTGTGTTGAAGCAAAGAACATCAATAACTTGCAGGATAGCAATCCTCAAAAACAGACTTTAGACATTTCTGCTTTAGAGGAAAAGAGGATGTGAGTTGGAATTTTTGTGATGAAGTCAACAAAATGTTGCAAATCTTTTATTACACATAGTTTAAAAGGATTATTTTCATAATCTGCAGAGTAAGGTCTACTAGAATTTATGAGTACTTAAGGAAAGAGTTTGGATATTTCTATCTTGGAAATTATTCATTTCAATTTCTATGTTTCATTGGGCTTAAGTACTCCTGCAAATACAAGAAATGTTGCTCCTCCTTCAGATTATCAGTAATGGCATAATTAACTTAGACTTAGACACCTTTTTGTTGTCTAAGTCTTTGTTTTGTACAGCTTTCATGACATTTCTATTTTTTAAAGTGCAGCAGTGATCAAATGTAAACAGTGTGGTGGAAAAAAAACATGGTGCAAGAGCCAAAACCAAAGGTTTTAGTCAAGTTAAAAAATGTACCATTTGCACCTCTACTGTTTGTCTGATAAAATTAAAAAACAGTCGCTGTAAATTTTTTTTTTTGTTCCTTCTTTTAATTTTAGGGCAGAGCCTTGGCTACGGTTTCGTCAACTACATTGACCCAAAGGATGCAGAGAAAGCCATCAACACATTAAATGGACTCAGACTTCAGACGAAAACAATCAAGGTAATCAACGCCGTCTTTGTTTACATACACCACACGCAATAAATTGAATAAAGGAAGGAAATCAGCTTACCTAACATGCCTTAGACAGAGTTATGCAGGTCGTGCTTCATTTTCACTGTCTGGAAGGACTTTCAGACAGTGACTCCAGTATAGAATCTGCTGTCGGAGCAGATTGAGGTAATGAGCTTTAGCAAAGAGAAATAAAAAGACCACCGGAATCAAAGTGACAACTTTTAAATAGCTTGTGACCATGGTTGATGTGCTAATTACCTTCCTAATGTCAAACTGCAAAGGTGGAATTATACAGATATCACTGAGGCAAATGGAAAAACCTATCAAACATCCGCTTTGCTCTTCCGCATGTTTTTCATGACAAATAGCGAGGTGTTTTGGTTGTCCCTTCAGTAAGATGGATGAATTTGTACCAATAATATGATCGTTATAAAACACATATGATATGCATTAAAAATGTTAAACCTTGTTGCACTTCGTATGTAGATGCTGTCACAACAACATGACCCAAAACCTAATTTTACCATCTCATATCCCTATCTGAGTGGCGCTCAGTGATGTGTTGCTGATGCGGCGCCTAATCTGTTGCTCTGCTGCAATCCCTGGATTCCCTCTCTCTGTCATCCTATTTAATCTGGTCTAGTCCACTCTAATGTAATCTAATAGGATAGGATTATCTTGTTTGCATACAGGAAAGCCCAGAGAGAGTCCCCTCATTCCCTCGACAGTATAAACTGCCTGACTTGGCCTTGGTTCAGTGAAGGATTCTTTTCTTAGTTTTACATCAGTGTTTGTCATTTAGGAGACTTGTAATGAGTTGGAGGGGTTAATAATGGATATCAGGTACCCTGTGAATGTGCTAGATTAAAATGACATGAACTATCATCATAGATGAGTTAATATTAAAGCCGCTTAAGTTTTTATACAGTTATTCTGCAAGGGACCCATTAATTCTGCCTATAAATATTTACAAACAGATTGTATAACATTTTTTGTGGGCAAAGTTTTGCTTTTAAAGGGCATTTTCTTAAAATTACCACCTCATTATGGTTCCCTCCACAGTATGGAAAATTATTGAAAAAATATGCAAACTGATTGTTCATTTTATAGGTTTAAATAAGTATGGAAAAAGAAAGAAGACCTAGATTTTCAATGTTTGGCCCATTCCCTGCAATTTCAATCTGTCTGTCCATCCATCCATCTATCATCTATCATCCTCCCTTTTTCACTGCGGGGTGTTTATGAAAGCCTGATTGCTGTAGAAACGTGTTTGAGTCTGGAACATTTTTGAAATTTTACATGTAAAATGTAAAAGTCTGATCATTGCACTCGTGCGTCCCTAGTTTCTTATTTTAGTTTACGTTATTTATAAATCCCTTTAAAACAAGAAGCATCTAATTGCCATCTAGTGGTCAGAACATACAAATGTGAGTTGGGTTGTTACAAAGTGGAACAGTCAGCGTGGAGAAATAAGTGAAAACGTGTGTTTTCTGAGGATAAAAATGGAAGCTTAAGGTTGTTTGTAGCGTTACAGTCTGAGTTCACAGACCGCCTCAAGTTGTTCCTGAGATAAAGGAGGCTCTTTGTCATGACTGAAGACAGCACTACATTTCCATCTGACACTATCACTCTTTCACACTTAATTTCCTTCCTCCCACTACCCTCTTTCCTTGCTTTCTCTTCCGACAACAGACTCAAACCCCCTAAAGGCAACAAGGTTAATTAAAAGACAGAACAGTAACTCTGAGATTATGTCTGCCATTCCTCATGTCACACCCTTCCCACTCACTGCCACTGTTCTTGGTCCAGAGAGTCAGATTCTCCTGGGTGTGTGCCTTTGACTTGGTTTCACTTGTGCAGCTTCCTCAGTCGTGACACCTCCGATTTTAGTCAGCGGCACTGCTTTCCCGCCGAGGTGTAAGGGGAAGCTGCGTGTTGGAGGTGCAAGGAGCTCACAGTGACGTGTGTGCACACAATCCGAGACACGCTTTTCCAGAGCGCACGCATGCGATTGCTTTGTGATTACTTTAATCTTCACGCTTAGTTTTTCGAACTTTTTTCTGCACACAAGCAGCGCACATACACTCCTGTTTCGCACATGCATCACACTGCATTGCACAATGCTGCTCACAGCTTGAGGAGGTGTTGATGGATTAGACATCTGGAGTTGGCTGACAAGGAGAGAAAATGAGGGAGACTTGTACAGTGAAGAGAAGAGGAAAGACCCCCCCCCCCCAAAAAAAAAAAAAAATAAGAGAAGAGAGAGAGTTGAGGATAAAAAGAGGGATGTTCTGGAAAGGTTTCGTGAGGCAGCATGGAGGAAGGAAGCTGATTGAAAATAACCAGGCAGGGAAAAGGGAAAGAGCTACAGGGGGTGAGAGAAGACAGAGGAACTCAGCAGATAGGCTGAAGAGGGAAATATGTGAAAGAGAAATATTACTTGGAGGAAGCCAGCTTTTTCCAATCCAAGATCTCCATGCTGTTGCTCAAATATGACTAAATGTTAACATTATTTACCTAGATGTTCACCTTATTTGATGACTTATGTCTCTGCTTGTCAGCGGTAATGGAAGCACTGAAAAGTTAAGCTGCTTCTGTCAGCAGCAGTAGTAGTAATAGGATTCATGCTACATCACCTCGTGAAAGGAGAGGATGTTGTGGAAGTTCACTGGTACAGTAGCAACCAAGTGACCAGAAAAGATGGGTGGAAGAAGTTGAATAAAGCATTGCTGTAATTACTGTTTTTTTCTAATGAACCAGTATATATAATAAATAATGCTAAGAAAACAATGCTTTTCATTTGTATTTAGACAAGTTGCCCCTGAGACTGATGATGTCCTGTCTTGTTGTTATCCTAAGTTCTCTTTCCAAACTAGAGACACCTGTCTTTAGAGTAAATTTTTCTTTACCTTTCCTTTTAAACAACTAAAACATGAAGTGATCTCTCTCTGAGGTTTAAAGTATATATTTTCCTGAGTATGGAAATCCACGAGTCTGAGAGGAACACAGTCTCATTTTCTTTCCTGTTGATCTAATGGTCTAAACCCCAATTTTACACAAAAAAAACACATTATCAAACGAAATATGGATAGAATTCTGGTTATAATATATCAAACACTACTTAAAAGCTTGGTCTGTGTTGTACAAGTTTAAAATCTCTGTTTCTTGTCTTCTCCAGGTGTCGTATGCGCGACCCAGCTCTGCCTCCATCCGTGATGCCAACCTGTATGTTAGCGGCCTGCCCAAGACCATGACCCAAAAGGAGCTGGAGCAGCTTTTCTCCCAGTACGGACGCATCATCACGTCCCGTATCCTCGTCGACCAGGTCACAGGTATCCATGGGGCAGCGTCTCCTCTGTTCTGACTCTATGAAGCCATCACTTTACATGTAATCACTCAGTATGACCAGGGATACACTTATTTATCTACATTAATACATCTGCATATTTTTAGCAGAACAAGACTTTCATCTATTTTATGGAATGCTTTCATATCACACTTGGCAAATTCTTATAAAAGTGTGATAGAATCATATAAAAGACTTACATTCCTATTTTTTTTTTTTTTTTAAAGCAGAGGATCTTGCAGCACAATCACATTGTATTTTTATTGACCAGTCTACACAAATATTGTAGTTAACTCCAGGAATGTGTTTTACTCATGAATTACTTCCTGAAGAAGAATCCCACTATCTATTAAGGGAATTATTAATTTCACTTCCCAGTATTGTTTAAGTACTTTGGTTATAATCTTTTTGCAAATCCCTGAAATTTGTAGCAGTATTTCTTACCATTTCTCATACTCCTCTTTGTCTGCTGATGCAGAGCCTGCTTCTGTGAGGATTGGCTGAAGGAATGCATGAGGTTGCCTATGTAGCTGCTTATTATTTTAATAAAAGCAGCAATTCTGGGTTTTGAATCAGAATTACCTCCTAATATCTGTTTGATTTGTATCAGAAGGCAAATCTAAAATATGAACCTTGGCAACTAAACAATTGAGCTATTGTTCAAAGTACCAAAGAATTATACGTAATTTGTTTTACCCTTTAAAATGACCAGGATTATCTTTGTTTGCTATGTCTGTTTTAAGTTTTTTTGAATAATTAAAATAGTTGGGTAAAGACAAATATCATAGCATTTTTAAAATAATAATAATTATTAATAATAATTATTCACTTTCATAACATTTTATACTGATGGAAGTTTTATATTTGAGGATATTAAATAAATAAAAAAAAAATCAAAATAACAACTTATTATGTATGAAAGAAAACTATACCAAAAAATCTTATCTTTTTTTAGATTTTTTTTTTTCAAACTAAACACAAATTTTTCAGTTGCTTTGTTGATATATTTGGAACAATATACATTACATTCCATAAATAACATCATAACTCCAATCTGCTTATCAATCACTTTTACATAGAAGCCTATTTCATGCACATACTTAATTCCCTACACAGTATATTAATATGCCCTTTTACATTTATAGAAACACCAAAGACTACTTACCTTATGCACATTTTCTTAATAAACTCTGGTGTTTAATAAGGTCACAGAGTTACATTAGATACATAAGCCATCTGCTGAGGGTCTGGGGGGATTCTGGTATCAAAGAGACTCATTCAGATGTGGGGCTTAACAATACTTAGTTCATTATCAGTCTCTAGATAGGAATACGTTGAACAGTTTTAAAAGTTACTTCCACTAATGCTGTTTCTGGTAAATTATTTTTTCTGTTAGCCTTTAAATGGCTTAGAGCTTATTTTTTTAAAAGGAGAAGGTCTTATGTAAAAGTTTTGGTAATGCCCTTGAATATCTTTTATAACAAGTTTGTCCTAATAGTTTTCTATAACTCACATGCCATATCATCTTTTTGTACTTAGCAAATTAATTCACTTCTTCATTTCAATTATAAAGAAATTCTGCAATTTCTCACCAACAGAAGAAATTCTTCATCTCAGCAGAACAAATAATAAATTTGCACTTTTATTTCCACCTCTATTGATAACGAGTGACTATTTTTTTTAATAATTTTGACTCTGATGGAAAGAATGACTCTTCTTTGATGCCAAGCCAAAAAACATGAAAAACGTTGAATCCAAAACTCACAAATGAGTCACATCAGCTCATTGCCCTGCATAGCAACCCCACATGCATGTCTCTTATATCAATTTCAGATGTTGCATGTCTGCCTTCAGGCTCCAACCTGCTCCAGCATTTTGTTAAGTAGAAAAAGGAGCAACATGCTGTAAGCCACTCTCATTTGCCTAAGCGGTATAAATCACTGCTGGCAGTAAAGTGTACGCCCGTCCTCTGAGCACTGAGCAGAAGGGGAGAAAAGGAGAAGGAAGGGAGGAACTATTTGAGAGAGGGCGTCAACGAGTAGAACTGTGAGAAGAAAAGGAAATGAGAGGATGGAAACAAAAAGCATAAACAAGATGGAAACATTTTTAAATACATGCAGAGAACGTAAAGTACACTTCTATCCCTCTACTTTCATGCAACTTTACTACCACATCACTACACAAACTACTGTGGATGTTTCAGTTACATTTACATCTCTGTTTTTTTAGATTTGAGGCCTGGGCCACTTTCTATGAATACAGCAGCTTAGCTCAAGCACTCCTGGTTACATAAAGTCAAGGTTTTTCAAGCATTCACTTCATTTATGGCTCACAAGAGGCTCAATAGTTCATTGTGCTCATTCTTGACTGTGTAAAAGTGAAGAGGCTTCACATGTCCATATAAAATACTGAAATATTTAATTTCCACAGTCAGTATAGAATTAACACTCAGGCCAAAAAGGAAAAAAAAAAGCATATAAAGAAAGAAAAAAAAGTTTCAATAGCAGGTTCTTTTACCTGCTGACATTTTAAAACATCAGTGTTTTAAAAGAAACCAGACCCATTAACACTTAATCAATGCTTTTACTTGTTGTTCACCTGCAGCTAACATCAGAATCATCCCTGAGCATTCAGCCCAATCTACTGCAATACCTTGATTTTCAGATCTGTAGTTTAACATGTGTTTTTTTTTTTTTTTTTTTATGACAAAGTAGAAAATAAATATGTTTGAACAATCTTTTTTTTTCCAAAGCATTCTAACATGTCCTGGTGTTATAACTATTGTCATAATTTGCCAAACAGAAGAAAAACCTTTCATTTCTAGAGACTTTATTCATGAAAGCTTTCAGGATTTCTGCAGAAGCTTAAAAATCATTAAAGATCCACAATTGGATTATCTAATTGTTGTTTTGCAAATAGCACAAACTGTCACTGCTCTTAAAATTCATTCAGTTTAGGGAACTAAAATCAAAACTGTCAGCTTACTTGTTATGAAAGAGGAAACATTTGATGTTGTGATGAAGATCTTTCATAATGATCTCAAAAAGGCCTTAAAGTCTAATTTTCACCCAAGTGAAGCTCCTCTAGAGCCGCTGCTTCTGTGTGTTTGAAGCCCTGGTTTTCTGGTTTACAGTTTATCATCTCCATGATGTTAAAAAATTAAGTTCAATGTAACCCCATTGTACAATTTTTTCTTCTTTTTTCCTTTCCTTTTTTAATTTTTATGTCTGAACTAAGGTTTTATTTTTAGAGATGAGGTACATAAAACACAGGACTGCTTGTTGGTTGATTTGGATTCTGTATTACCGGTATAATAAAATAAGCTTTATGTGCCAGATTCTAGAAATATCGTAACATTGATAGTTATTCTCCCTTCTTTCTAATGCGTGATTTCAGCAGATCTGACGTCTTTGTTACATGTCAGCATCTATTGTGGTCAGACTCTATCAAATATTCTAGTTATTACACTGGGCTGGAAATGTTACATTTCATTTCAAATATTTATCAGCCAACAGTTATTGTACTTCAAGCAGCTCTTAACAGTCATTGATTTTTTTTATACTCCGATATTGAGATGCTTATATTTTGGCTCCATTATTCAGCCATAAACTAGATTGTTGCTCCACCTTTTGAGTGCGTTTATAATTTTCCGCACTGCAGATCCAGTTGGGCCCAAGAAATGGAGTCGTATTGAAGGAGCCGATTAAATGCAAAATCGATACCTCAGAATGAATGATATCCTTTCCTCTCTTTGTTCAGGCTGCTTCATGCTATTAAGTCCTGTCCATTACTGGCAACGCAATCCCGACATTTGCATTAACATTTACAATTGGTCAGAATTGCTGGAGATGTTTTTTCAGCATACTGATAGCCTTACCAACTGTCCTAACAGCCACCCAGTATACCACTCTCACAACTGAAACTCACATTCACTGCATATTCACACATGCAAACAAAGATAATACGAGAGAGGGATGTTCTGCAAGGTGCCCCCAGAGGGCCGCGGATCAGCAGGAGAAATGTTAATGATTAATTAGATGTTAGAGTTGCTGGTGATTAAAAACACGGAGGATCTTTGAGCGGCCCTGAGAGTAGTATGCTGGCATCATTGACTCATCTTTTTCTTCTCTCTGATACTGTGGAGACAGAAGAAACACACCCACCCACACACTCACTGCCATTAAGAGAGAAATGGGCTGCAAATTAATACTCTCCTGTGACTGCCAAACATATAAGCACTAAATAAGAAAGAGGGAAAAAGTAAAACAGAGGAAGAGGGAGTCATTGGTATGTTTTGTCCCTTTTGTCAGATTGTTTTTGAGTTTGGTTAATTGTGCACAGAGTGACCTGATATTAGCTTTTCCACTCAGTTCTTTTTAAGTCACTTCAGAGGAAAAAAAAGCAATTAAAACTTTATTCTCTCTAGCATATTCTAAAATATTTAATTATTGTATAAATCCATTTATGTTTGGTATCATTGCTTCCTTTAAGACGATGTCCATAATGGTGGGAAACTTCAGAGAGGATTGATGCACAGACAGAAATAATACTGAATGCAATGCTACAGAGCATTGTTGAAGTATGGGGGTGCTCTCCAGTGACCATTAGCAGATGGGCTGATGATCCGCAGCTCCTGCTCTGCTAAATTGGGAACACAGAGTCTGTTCTCCAAATGACCTCCTCATCAACAGGATGCACCCTGCAGTCATTCTTCTGTTCGTAAACACCAGAAGCATCTTAAAGAGCATCACTCTTTGCATCTTTCACAGTCAGAGGCAAACTGAAAACAAAATCCACTATAACTGCCAAATTGCCCTTGAGACTCAGGGCGCAAGTGCAACATGGACTTGACAAGAGAATCTCTTCATCTTTTCTTTACCCTCCTATTTCTCTCCCTCTGAGTATTGATTGCCTCTGAATGGATAAGCATATTTTTTTCTCTCTCTTTATTGGTGCAAATAGTGCCAGATTCTCTCCCTTGTCTTT